TTAACAAATGATTCTTCTTTGGCTGTAATATTACACACATGGACACCACATATATCGAGTGCAAGTATCCACTTCTGAATACCAGCCTAATCATTGAGTGCTAGTAACCACTTCTAAATCCTAGCCTATTCACAAAGTCAACAATCGGTTCTAAAGTCATGTTTTTTTGCTGCTTGTTAAGAACCAGTTCTTAAGTCAAGCCTATTTATGTATGTAAGCATCCACTTTTTAACAGTGATAAACAGTGCCAATACCACTAAACACGTGTACGAGAAGGTAACATTTTAACTGTTACACTTACAAATTCCATTCACATATGTATTGCTGTATGGACCAATTGTCTAGTGACACTGGGCGGTAGGACAGCCTAGTGGACACGAAATTGTGCAGAACTGTGGATTGAGAAATAGCTAAATTTTACATTGTCGTATTAGACTGGGATGCAGCAACTTGGACACTGCATTATCTAATCTTTGAAGGACTGTTGTAATATGTATTAGTTTGGGGAACGACATTAATATAGGGCAAACACTGTTTGTCAATCCCACTGTACACTACTAGTGGTACAAGAATAAATATTGTTTAAACTATACACACACTTGCATACATCTTCAATCGTGTGGCATTGTAGATATACACTATAGCCCTAGAACAAAGGCTCACGCTTCAGTGGCTAATGCTAATTACCTGGCTCGCATCTTTCACCTATCCACAGTGCAATGTTGTCTTAAAGATCACATATACTCTAGGGGGGTACAAATACATAAATCACTAACTGGCATTGCTATAAATGAAACTACTCACTTCGATCTTTAATCAACTTAAATCAACCTTTTTGACAACAGTGCACAATTTTCACCCATGAACGAAATTTCAACCAATCAGAGAGGGGCGTCTCTGTGACGTCATATGAGGAATAGATATGAGGGCCGATGCAGAATTCATCTACATTTCAGGGGGGTAAATTATCTTGTTTACAGGTTTGTATAAACCTGAAATCGTGACAACTGTTGTGGAAAATGAAAGCTATATGTTCTCACAATCTACTGTCATATAAGTTTGTCTCCTGCTTTGCCTAGTTTCCGAGTTACAACTTGTTTTCATAGATGATTCTGTCAAAATCGCTTGGTGTCGTTATGTCTTATTTGTATAATGACTGATCCAAATTGATCCCATTTCTGTGTTTTTTCACCTCGATATTTAATCGTGTCATGTACAAATATGACATCTATTATGTATGATATTAAAAATTGACATTTGATTTATTTGAATCGGTAAACTAAACAACCCTGTTTTGCCTTTGCTAGAAAAATCTGAAATTTCACTTAGGTAAATAGGTACATACAGTTTTAGCACACAGCAAATGCTTATATGTATTTCTTATGCAGCAATGAAGTTCTGTTTGTGTTTTCAAAACAGTGTCGGCCCATAAGTTTTCACATGCAATACAGCAATTAATACTCCCTCGTTGTAACCCGTGTTAGGTGGTATAAACCTTCACATGTTATTTGTCATCATTCACTTGATGGTCAGTTAATGAATTTATAACAGGTATAATTAGTGGTAACACCACTTAGATTACCCGACAAAGGTTCCCATTTGGCATTTTTTGCGTCTGGAGTAAATATTCAACATTATAAACATCGATCAAGGATTAACCGATATCATGCTGATTGATTAATTACTTTTATCTTACACAGCGGATTTGTCAAAAGGTAGTGTTTATGTATGTAGGTTTACTATTCTATACTGAATACACTCTGTCGTGTCTGTGTCTGCGTAAAAACAACGTCCTTCTTTCAAAGCATTAACCGCCAATACATTGATTGATTGCTCATTATTGGCTAACTAAATTCCCGTTTTAAGAATGGCGGACATTATGCAATCAGTTGCCAGGTGTGCTATCTTGGGTGACCAATGAGACTATACACCAATGTGACATACCTGAAACGATATATCAGTTTTTTTTATACTAGATTGTTAAAAGACACATTACTTGGAACAACTGCAGATGAATGGCATATCACTCGTTTTTGTGGATATTGATGGATACATTCCTCGAACAAGGTAATAGCCTGACATTGTTCCTATAAAATCAATCTGTTTTAATTTTAATATTTGCATTTTGTTTTTATTCATTTGTCGTAGCATGCAACAGAATCGTTGTTTTAAGCCAGTGAAGTGTAATGAGACATACACTAGAGTGTGTGCGAATTATGATTCACATTGGCAAACTATAAAATGTCTAGATATTACAGTCCTTTTATAAATGCACTATAAGTATCAGCAGATCGTCTGCTTTTTATTTAGTTTCAAAATGCATACAAGTATGATAATAAACTAATTAGGATTATAAGACCAAATATAAAGCCGTACATTGACTAGTATCTACATACTGATGAGTGCACGTTAACCATGTGAATGTAGCAAGAAATTTGTCGCGCAGTATTGTCACTTCGACCCCCCACCTCTCTTCCTTGGAAGAAATCGTTATGTTATAAGTTGTGTCATGCAAAATGCTTTTGGTTACGATTCAAATACATATTTAACTACGAGTGGAAAGTAGTTTTGATTTTCTAACTTGATGAAAACAAACCATAATCTCATAAAACCTCAACAGCAAAATCAGACAGCAAATCAGCCCTCTCCAAACACCAACAGAAATTCCCTACCCATCAAATCCAGTTTGACAAATTTGAAATCCTATCAACCAAGAATCAGGACTTCACAAAAGAAAACTCTTGGAAGCCATCGAAATCCGTCGCCACAAACCTTTGATCAACAGAGACCAAGGATACTACATACCATCGACCTATGAAGAACTAATCAAACTATAGACTCTATAAGCATCCAATCAGCTTGTTATTACAACTTAATCCCCCTTGTTTATTGGCTTCGTTCCCAGCTTCATATGTTGTTCTTAGTCTCCTACTGGCCTCTCATAATTATGTACCAGTTGTTATTCAATTACATGTTGTTGTTAATGTTAATCTGCTGTTGTCAAAACATACTGTGTATATATATTCCTCTACATCTGGTTGTATCCACTTTTATCTTGATAACGATGTAAGAATCTACATCGAAACGTGGCTCTATGCAATAAATAAGAAGTTGTCATCCATAAAGTTGTATGTTTCATTTTTGAGTCACCAACTTCTAGAATGCCCATCAAACAATCTCATTCCGAATTCGTGTAATCCTATTTCAGGTACTAAGAAATACTGAATTTTTACATATTAGATATAAATCTATCAGTACCAGTTTGATGTGTCTGGTCATGAGTTAACTAACATAATGATTATATATTTATTGTCATTACATGTGTCATTAAGCATCATTTATGCCATTATAATGTTCTATGATCCATTTCATCATACAGCATTTATTTCATTCAATGTTTTGAGTCTCACATGATGACATGAGAAATGTTACTGTTCCAGTTCAGTTCGTTCTTCAAGTGTTCCATCCAAAATAGTCATTATGGTTAGAAACAGCCTGATTTTAATACCTATCAAGCTAGATGTTATATATGAGTGCATGCACACACAGTCACACAAAACATACGTAATTTGTGAATTCTGTTCAGACGAAAAAGAAATATCTAATTTGATAAGAAACACTAAATAAATTATCTTCCCTCATTCTGAGAGAAGCATGGCATTATTCGTTAATTTTTAAATAAATTTATCTGCATAAAAGAAGGGATTATAAAAAATCTGAAACAAACTTCTGTATACTACCATTTCACCAGCATTGTGACATTGACCATGGAATAATGTTAATTTCAGTCTGATTTTAATGTCATAATTATGCGAGGTTCCTCATCCACACATTCATACAAATTGACACAAAACAATATGCAACCAACCAAATTCAATGCAATACAACTTTCACCGCCTGTGCATACCACACTGTTGAAGAATCTCTCAGGTGTGTTAGAGCGATAATCACATCGCGACATGTTTAACAAACCTACAGCTCAGCAGATTTAAATAACTTACCTTGTTAATAAGCAAAGCAAGATTTATGGATGTCAATGTCTTTATTGTGAATAACACGACGTTTCGGAGCGTATGCCTGCTCCTTCATCAGGTAAAAATCAGGTCACAATACAGAAGTTGACATCCATAAATCTTGCTTTTGTTATGCATTCAACTTCTAAATGCCCTTCAAAGATGTAACTTACTTCCACAGGCTTCTTTGAGAGGCATAGAAACTTGGGTGTATTCTCTTTTTGCCTGCACTTTACTTGGCTATAAGCGGATTCGGGTTAACAGTCCAGTGCCTGCACAATTATAGTCTGTTCAAGTAGTGACCAAGGTCACTAGCCGACCACACTGAACACAGTTCATAATGATTAGTCAACTTAGTCATTAAAAGTAATCAAATATGACATGATCGAGGCATGGGGTTATAAAACTGCAAAATCTGGTGGGATTGTGAATGTGATTATTGTGTCATATGAAACAAACAATACACTTGTATGTATTTATGTATAATGCACAGTGCACAAAAGTATATATTTCCTGGTTTAACATTTAACGCTTAATTATGTATTTGCTGATTTAAACTTTCATCATATTTGTCAGACAATTCATTTTTGTATATTTGTATACATGCAATATTGTGTATGCATATGATGTTACATGTAATATCAGTAAAATTAAAAATGTCACCAATGATTTTCAAATAACTCATACTCGTATATTTACTATTGCTATATGCAATAAACTGAAAATCTTTGGAAATCTCATATTTCCAAAACTGGAAATTTTTGGAAATGTCTTGGAAACATCATCTTTCCAAAATTGGAAATGTCTTGGAAACATCATCTTTCCAAGACATTTCCAAGCTTGTAAGTGTGGACTTTTTTTCCAGTGATGAAATGACACACAGTCAATTTTTAATTATTTGTAGTACTGTTACATAGATATTTATGTGTTGACTTGAGATGATAATGTAAATGTTTTGATTGGACCTGTATGACATTTTTCTTTAAGATGGTGAGAGAAGAGGTCAGTCAGTTGGTAGAAGGCCAGCGAGATCTGGAAAATAAGTACCAGTCTGTGCTTGTCAGAAAATTGGAGCTGAAACACACAACAAAGAATGCTGGAAAGTTGGCAGAGGTTGAGGAAGATGTTCTTAGCACAGGCAGAGATCTCAAGAACAGCCTGCATACATTTGGAAGAACTTTGCGGCAAAACCCTGTGACTGGAGATAATATTGCTAAAGTTCAAGATGATAGGTAAATGAATAATATGGCAAGCATAAATCTAAGTATCACGATAGAGTGCTTACAAAAAGTGTTCCAGAGGCCAAAGTGAGCCCATATTTTGGTCTCTTTGTTGTTTTTCAACATCTACTTCCATGGTACAACTAAATTTATTACCTACGAGGGTGAAAATATCGGGGTTCATATTTCCATACGATGCCCTGGGGCAAAATATCACTTTGTCATGGTGACGTGATGTCATGAACAATGCTATGACGCCATGTTTCTTTTGTGATGTTGTGTTCTACATGCGGCTAATGCGGGTAGCCAGCCTATGTTTGAAAGTCGATTTGGGTATATTTTCCTCAACTTGATGACTTCTGTACTAAACAGAATATTATATTTGTGCCCATATCAGACTATGTTTACGACACTTGTGCCTAAAGATCGGTATATACCTTGCTCTCGCTCAGGAAATACCACCATTTAGGCACTCATGTCGTAAACATAGTATGACATGGGCAATCATAAAATATCCTCTATTTATGAAGCAATATCAGTGTGATTGATTATTTTACTCAATACCTCTTTCCTGCAAGATCTGAAAAAAGCCCTAATCACCACTCTGCATCGAAGCTTTCTAATTGTTGGTATATGCATGCAAAACATTGAGAGCCACATATCTTAAAGCAAACACTGGCAGCTCTGAATAGAATATTACAAACACATCCATGTTGAGGACAATGGACATCCTGGTTTTTCTGAACAACATGGCATCTTCACCCTAAAGGAGTCTATCAAGGAATTATTGTTTTTCATGATTTTTTTCTTTACTTAAGATAAAAACAAATCCAAACTGAGAAGCTTAAGAAATGAATACAGACTGATTTTACAAGCTTACATGTGACTGACTGAATACTTCATACACATATTATTTGCACGGCCATTTGGAGTTTGTGGGAGGTACAGAAGTGAGTGATATTTATGTAAAAAGTTAAAATTTTGCAATTTTTACATATCCTGGCTCATGCTGTTTGCTTCTATCTACCTTAACCTGAGATATTTTGGAACTTACTGTGTTGTGTTCCCAAAGAACAGCAAAAACATCTCACCCAAACGTACCCCTCAATTTGCGCACCAGACCCATGTGACCAAGATGGTGACTTGTCACTCTCTCCTTTTTCGCCCAATGGGCTAATTTTTGTGTGTGTTTAATCCATACTATCCTACCAAAATTATAGGGAGTTTTCGACAATTTGAGGCATGGATTATCTTTTTAGGCCTTGTATTTATCATATCTTTTTTTTCAGTTTGATTATTGTTTAAGTTCATTTTTCAACTTAATTATGACCATCATTTGCTTCATGAAAATTTGCTCTATATGTAAACACAGTGTATCAGATTGTAACCTCATCCCATCTGTTCAACGGGTACCTGAGTATTGTAACAGAGATAGTAAATGTAGTTTCTGTGCCATGATAACAAACTTGCTGGCTTATGTATTTGGTGTGCAAAGAAAGAAAAGGGCCAAAAAGTGTGGGAAATCTCAAGGTCATCATCCCAGTTGTCATCTTCTTCTACAAGGAAGATTATCGATTGTGGGAGGGGGGATATAGCTCTGAGCTCCATCCTTGGATTAAGGGAGAACAAAGCAATCAGTAGAGGCAGGATAAGTATACAACAGTACTAGTAATAATAGTACATTTTTATCCAACCAATGATGATGACACCAACAATCATAAAATAAGTCATAAACATTTAGGATTAACACTCCAAAGCAATTGCACGTGAAATGATCACACTAATGATATTGTACATAAAGTTCGCCCTATGATCAGTTTTCTGCGGAGTTTTAAATAACGATTATCATGTGAAAACTTTATAATGAATCCAAATTTCAGTCCTTGCAAGATAGAAGGTTCTGCCAGAAGTTAACTTTTTTCTTTAAGATGTACAACAAGCACTTCCCAAAATATCTTTGTGACCTGATCCCAAACTCCGTATCCGGAACTACAGGCTATAACTTAAGAAATAACTCTGAAATACAAGGAATTTACAGTCGAATTGCCTCTTATGCCAAATCCTTTTTTACCTGCCAAAATAGATTTATGGAATGCCCTACCAAATTCCAAAGCGTCATGCAGTCTCACAGAATTTAAGAACTTAATTGCAAAAACCGAAAGTAAGATTTACTTTGACCTTAATTATGGCACTCGTCTTTGCCAAATCATTCACTGCTGCCTCAGGCTCGGATGTAGCGACCTAAACGCCGATAAGTATAACAGACATTTAATAGACAGCCCATGTTGTTCTTATGGATATCAGAGTGAAAACGCCCTACACTATTTCCTCATTTGCGGTAACTATACTCAGATAAGATTTAATATATATTTTTACACTACCGGATATAACCTGGATACTATTTTAAATGGAAACAAAGAATTTACTCCTTGTGTTAACCAGAAAATAGTTGAATCCGTCCACAATTATATCATCAAGACACAATGATTCAAATTTTCTCAGGAAAATAATTAAATTTACCCAACAACTTTCTCATGATTAATTTCTACAATGGCTTGTTAGACACACACAACTGTAACTCTCTAACTTATGACTACTTAGAGAATAGTTGTATTTGATGTAATCTCTATATATTTATATATATTTAAAAATATTATATTTATGCAATAGTCAATATCGATGACGTAAAATCCTCCATTTCATGTTGTATTATATGTTGCATGGGAGCTGTGTTAACATAAGCAGTAATGCTTGTTCACCAATCCCAATTCACTTTCATGAATAAAAATATGTTTAAACCATGATGACACCAGAATTAATTGTTTCGTACCTCCCCTGATGAAGTTTATTATATCAACTGTCATCCACTGTAAACATTGTAAATATAAACATACATTTCCAACATCTCATTTGAAACTGCTATGAAGTGGATATTTTCAATGGCTTTAAAACAAACTTGTGGTATAGTTTAAAGAAAAGTTACACTCGATATTGTAATTTGATTAATTTTTGTCTTGTTCTTACTTTTCATTATGACCTTTGACTCCTGCTAAACATTTCAGCATAAAAAAATTGGTTTCAGTGTTATGTTGTCAGATTCTTTTTTCAGATCATCTTGAAATTGATCACGAGGATGTGTGCACTTTCTTATGCACTTTAATTCTAAATAAAATACCAAATGAAATACAGTAATTAGCAGTATCTGATATATAATGATGGTATGTTTCACCTTGAGGAAGTTTAATTTCAGTTGGAAAAGTTAAGAATTGATGTCTGAAAATATGCTTTGTCAAGTTGAAATATGCATGCCATGACTGACATCTATTTTACAACAACAAACAGTTAACTGGCATGCATATTGGCATATACAGGGATAAACCAACCCCGCGTCCCGCGTCTCTGACGCAATAAATTCTGACAGGACTCATATTTTTTTTACATGTGTGATGAAACACTAATGTTTTGTTTTTGTGGAGAGGCAATATCAAAGTATATATGGCTAAATCTTCGTAGATTAACTTCCATTCTCAAATAATTGACGTGAGCTAATAAGTACACAGTATTTTTAAAACGATCGCAGCTTTCATTCGTCATGATATTAAGTTCATTTCCGCGTTTCCAAAAATAGACATCTAGGTCACGCCAAGGGAGGTAAGCGGTATGCAAATGAGATCCCAACATTCATTGCCTGAGCATGTGCAAAACTACTAACCTAGTTTTTACACTCTATAAATAGACACAAACACGCTAAGGGAGGTAAGCGATATGCAAATGAGGTTTTTCAAGACAAACTGATTGGTCAATGAACATTGTGACTCTGAATCCACAGTGTGAAGACAAAATCTGAGCTCTCAGTACCAGTTAGAGAAAAGCAGGAAGCTTTAGTCAGTAGCTGAACAACTGTTAAATCTATCTGCATGTAATTTGAAAGTGAAAGTGACATTTGACAGGGTTAAAGTTCTGCTGAAATAGAATGTCATTCTGCTGTTTAAGTTTCTGAATCTCAAGTCCTGGAAAAGAAATCATATAAATGAATCATTTCATTTATAAATATGATGACATTTATGATATAATTCGTTCAATGTTAATAGTTAAAATAAGACAGTTACTATTTGTGTTCATACTTGTTAAAGTGGCTTCCAGTTGGCATATTTCTTTTGATGTAATTTGTTTTTTGAATCACTGAACAGAGTGAAGAAATAAAACAAAACTTTGGTTGGAATTGTAGAACTTTATTCACAAAATATTACAGTGAAATAACATGGGTCTGGCTAGTAACTTTCTTTTTTTTCTAGTAAAAGAAAACATTTGCTTGTCAAAGGTCATGTAGAGCCCTGCTGTTATTTTTATAATATAGCAGTCGACATGCCGCCCAGATAGATACTGACAGAAAACACAAAGTTAGGGCATTTCAGTCAGGTTAGCTGAATACTCATCGGTTATGGCTGACTTATGACAGGGAAGGTGATTTAATATTTTGTAAACTATGTACTGAAAATGGTATGACACAAGATGCTAAATGCAGAAATTTTTTAAAATATAACTTCGACCAGACATCTCATCATAGGGATAATAAACTGTCCGTTCAGGCTCCAAAACTTTGTGATGATTTCCAGGTTGCAACTGCACGTATGTATGAAAAACAAGACAAAGCAGCTGTCGCCTTGATGAAATCTGTTCATTGGTTAGCTTGTGAAAACATCCCACTGACAAGTTTAAACGTTTTGTTGACTTTTTATATGAATTTGAAAACGAAGACATTGAAATTCTCAAGGAAGGTAAACTCAACTATGATTCTCCAACCACTGCCAGTGATCTGTTAACATCTGTGTCTGATGTGATAGGGTATGAACTACAAGTTAAAATGGAAGAGTATCCATTTGTTACGATTTAGGTACTACCAGCTCTGTTCTGTGGTATATCCCAGACCGGTCAGACTCACCTGTACCTATAGTAACAATAAACCAGTTTGAATAATATTTGTTGCATTAATTTTTGTTAGGGACTCATAAAAGTTCTGAGGGACTCATAGTTATTCAGCTCAGTGAGTCCCGGGACTCAGGCAGTTGAATTTGTAGATTTATCACTGCATATATAGAATGCCCATCTTGTTTCCAGGGATTTTGTCCAATGTGTAATGGTGAACACTATGGACGAGCTAATCCACAACTGCAGTTTCCAGGCCCTCCTTGATGCAGTGCATTCAGAAAAACAGAGAAAAGCATCATTACAGAACACAATACAGAAGTGAGTAATGACAGTAACAAATGAGTGTAACTAACAATTAACAATATTTTAAAAACTTATCCTATCTCACATTATGCACTTTCTCTTGTATTTATGACAAGAGAGAGGAAAACGACATGAAATAAATGTTAAAATATCCAGCCTGAATACACCCCAGCTCCATCTTGTGTACTACTACTAGGCAGTCACAGGTAGCTCATGCAATACATGCAGACATGCTCCGGTTGATCATGTGACTCCAGCTATATTCATTCTCTTATTTGTCGCATGAGAGTGAAGATGCCCTGTCTTTGAAGATTATTTTTTTACTAATGCCGACTGTTGTCCCAGTTATTTGTCTATCCTAGAGGATTGTAGTATGGGAAAGGATGATGCAGCTCATCAAAAGATAGAGGTATGAGGTAGATGTAAACTCTCCTTTTCTTCATTTGACCCCCACTCTTTGTGCATGGATTGTATTGGTGTTTGCTCCATGCATAAATGTTACTCAGCTTGTAGCTTTTACAATCTACAAGAAGGCTAGCTCCAGACATTCAAAGGAGGGATTATGAACAACATATTGAAGAATTTGAACTGTCTTCATCTAAGACATCTAAAAAAAAAAGGAAGAAGGTGTACGGATCCTCTAGATCACCAACCAATGCTAACAATGAGATTTTCTTGACACCTCTTCTGATGCATACCTGTATGAGAATTTATGATGTCTTTTATGAACTCTGTTCATGACTTTTGATCCTCCGATGCCAGTCATGTCCATACCCGTAGTGGTAGAGGTAGTGGTCCTTCGAAGATAACTGATCTATGCCGTAGTTCCTCTACTTGTGACAACTCTTTGTCTCCTGTTCAGTTGTCACTGCCTTAGATGCCTCCATTAGATTCTACTACAATCCTGCTGGCATCTTCAACCTCTGCGCTCCAATCGATAATTTCTGTAATGATCACTCGGTCTTCTGCGCTTTTAACTTATCCTCCTCCATCCATTCTATCATCTGTTGTTCACCTTGCCTTCAGCTTATGTGTTACACACACACACACACACACACACACACAATCAGGTGAATGTGGGAATCTTAGGACTAATTTACATCTTAGATAGGGCGATTGATCCTTTGTCTCGGGCGATCCTTTTGCTATCTCTTCTTTTTTATTGAAAGACTATTTCATTATTTCTTATAACTTGTGATGATACTAAACATTATACGCTGTGTTGAAATAGTTTGGTTCCTCAGGTGGAACGAAATAGTAGAAGAATATATTGTTGTTATCAACAAAGATTTCCAGCCATGTGACTTCACTTTAATGGGTTGTTGACGGATGACGATTCGTCTACATGAGAAACCACCATCCATAGCATCAGTCCCTTATCAACTCTGATTTGGATCATGGACCAACTTAGTCTTCCTAAGAGCTCCTCCTCTGCTGACTTGGCTATATTTATGCTATGAAGTATAAGGATCTCAGTGGTATTACTTTGCCTTCTAGACCCATCATGTTTGAGCTTTCATCTTCAATAAATACTGTTTTTGGTGAACTTAAGAGTGTCCAAGATTTGTATGTTCATGGGTTTGACTGCTTGATTGTTTCACCTCAACTGGATATGGACATTCAGACACTCTGCTGAAGCAAAACCATACATACTTTCTAGTGGAAGATAGAGAACTGATTGATTGATCTAGATGTAGCCATCCACTGAACACTGCCAGAATTCAATATGATCCTGTCTGTGTCAGAAACTATAGCTATGTTGATTACTCATACCTTGTTGCAGGACCAAGGACACATTCAACAGGCTATATCACTTATCCATGAGCACTTGTAGATTGTCTTGTATGAAGTCTCTCATTTCTTCGGTTATCTCAGTGATTTGATGCAGAGGTCCTCTTCATTGCTCAAGCTAGGATGGGCCTTTTTCATCAACCAATGTCCAGCAAGTTCTTATTCAATGATGTAGTGTTTGCCAGGGCAGAGTTCCTCACATGTACAGACAAGAGACATGTCTTGACAGTCCCATACTTTATTCCTGACTACCCCATACAGGCCATGCCGCTTCCAGTCACCCAGATAATACTAATGGCACAACTTATTATCACCAATACACTACAAATGAGGCAATCCACACAGTCTCTCATAAGGTGGAGAAAGACACTCAGTTTCAAATTTCCATTGAGCTTCTGAAACTCCAAAAGATCATGTGCTTTCCTTGCTGTTATCATCCTGCACATTATGTACCTCAGAAATGTGATCTTTATGACTCTTTTCATGGCTCCAGGGGATGTGGTAGACATTTCAGCAAGTCTTCAACTTCTTTTCAGGATTGAAAAACCCCCCAATCCAGCCAGCGGACTTGTCTTCCAAGCAATGACTCCCTGAACTTTGCTCACAACTAGCACCCTCTGCCCCCAGTTGTCTTGATCTACCCATCATATGTAGGCAAAGAATAGGGATCTTTGCTCAGAATTGGACTTTGCTGGATTACTCTTACATTGTCAGCCTTTTGCCAAAAGGTTGTTGTCTGCCAAATGTGGAATTGCCTCCCCTGATCCTGGACCTGGCCCATTGTCAGACCCAGCTGACAGCGTCACAGAGAGCCTCTTGTAAGTTATTGCAGAAATTAGCAATAGAGTTGTTCGGTCCCACACCTGACACCCCTGGCTTTTATTCTGCAATCTTTCTCATTCCAAAGAAGGGCAAGTTGTAAATGATCTTCAACATGGAGATCTCCAGGAAGCGTATCTTCATGGCTGATCTTCCCAGGTCATCGCAAGTGTCCTTTGCTTCATCTTCCATTGAGTACACTACTAGTGGAGGGTCCTCCAATTTGGCATTTCTGTGGCCCTGTGGCTATTTAGCCACATCACATCACTCATTTTCAAGTCCAAGATGGTTCTGACCTAGTGACTTGAATTTATCAGTGATGTATTTGACACATAGCTAGGCAAGAAGTTTATTTCCACACACAGACGGAAGAACAAGTTACAGCATCAAGTCCATTGACGCTGTCTCATGGTTCAACAATCTCAATTTGAAGGTGTTAATCCTAATTGTCTTCCATTGGTTCAGCATCCTGCGATTGTCTCCCAGATGATAAAGCTGGATCTTTTGAGATCTTTTGATTAATCTGCCTTATGATCTTGACCCCACAAGTACACCTGTATGCGACAAGCTTCAAAAGCAATTAGCCAGGTTTGGATATTCAATTCCGGACACCCTCACTTGGGATCACGGTGCTCCAACGATATTCTGTGAAGGAATGAATGCTTATGCATTCCCTCTCCTCCAGGTCTCCTCCCTCGGGTCATTCTCATACCAAGTCACCAAGCAAATATTCACAAAGAACTTAGTTAAGCACCCCCTGACATATCACATGATTGAATGAGCCCCGATTTTAGCATATCTGGGACATGATTGGTCGTCGTGTGCAGCGAAGGGATCCTCCTGTACAGAACCTTACCCAACTGGAAGCTGATTTACATGAAGAATGGCATAGACTGCCCCTTCAGAGGATCAGGAGGCTGACAGGGGGTATGAGGAGGAGTATGCTGGCTGCCATACAGTCACATGGAGGTTACACTCGGTATTGACCATGAATCATGTAATACACGCAAAATGACATTTTGAATGTTCACATTCACCATTGAACATTCCAGGGAGATACTTGTACAGACATGGTTTTGTATGAAAATCATTGGTTTTTTATAAATTGAGCAATTAACATTATAAAATCAACATGGATTCCAATCATTTTGTCGTTTTTTATGAGTCAAAGGATCATACGGGTCAGAATAACCACGAGAAGTTTTATGAATGTGTTAAAAACCTATCATTGCAAAAATACAGTGGGAGCTTAATTAAGTTCTTTGTGTATATGTCCTTATGGGCAGCAAGGTCTTGGAATGTCAACCTCAAAAACCTTGCCGATCCAGACCCACTGGCCCTACTCTTAACAGATGACCTCTTGATCCATCCTCACCCTGATCATCTTCATTAATCACCTCAGATACTACGTCTTCATGTTTGGCACATCTGCAGAAAAATTTGCAATTGCCAAATGGTATTCAAAGAGAGTTGCAAAGACGATCGCTGCAGCTTATTGCACTTCTAATCTTTACTTTTGATCACAAATGGAAGTGTTTTGAGTCTCACTGCATAGCACATTGCATTGTTTCCCCTACTAATCCCCCTGGCATCGGACTTGAGACACTTAGCCTCAGCTGATTATGACTTTCACAGTTAGACTGATCTTCCTGGTAGACTCTACGCTATTACAGCGTTGTCTTCCAGAGGAGGTATCACATACCACCAGCAAGTGTCCGCTCATTTCCATAATGGAGGCAGTCTTTGCAGTTGTCTGTGGTCATCGCTGTATGCAATAAACAAAAAGTTGTTATCTGTAAAGTCATATGCTTTACTATTTACTCACCAACTTCTGGAATGCTGACCAAACAATCAAATGCTTTGTGTATTCAAGAATAAAGCATGTCAATTTTGAACTGACATGTCAATATTCGTCAAGGATTGTCTTCACTCAATGTTCAGCTGGGGTGTCGATGTACAACCAACTCTTGGTCACAGGCTGGATATCATTAATGACTCTAGAGGCCTAGTACAACGGCACTGAAGAGATTCACGCATACTCCCAAACCGCTGCTCATGCAAGCAATCACATAAGTGGAGTATGATTTCTGAATCTGCTTAGAGCATGCTTCAAAGTGTTCTACATTTATATTGAGAAATCCTAAACCCAACAGAATATGTTATCCAAGTGTTATTCAAGCTGTCCTTGTCTCTCGGATCAGCATTTGTCCTTAGACAAATGATACGGTTTGAAATCACATAACTCAGGTCTGCCCACTTCCTTGGAGTTTGTGTTGAGTAAAGCTATTGGGTTCTATAAAGCAATCGATCTCACCTTATAGATTCCCACCTATGCAGATTGCAGGAACTGTTCGGCCCCAAGACATGGAAGATAGGTGGAAGTCACATGCTTAACCTGTATGCAT